TTTTTTATTAAAATTAGTTTTTTTTTTGGAAAATAATTAATTTAATGATATTGACTTGATTATTTTCATAATTAAAATTAATTAGATAAATTAGGTTTAATTCACAAATATTTAATTTTCTCAATAAAATACCAAAAAATAGTTTTCTTTAATTAATTAGATTTAGATTAAAGATTTCAAATATTTTTCTCAACAATAAAATACAAAAAAAATATTTTCTCTTTAATTGATTAGATTTTAGAATTTAAACTTTGATTCCCGTACTTAATTCTCACGCGCAATATTTTATTTTCCAATTATTGTATTTGCTTCGGATTTGTAATAGTTTTTAATTAGAGTTTACCGCATATTATTTACTATTTAATCCCCGGTTTTTGGTCATGTAACCCCCTCCCCGAAGCCTTGTAATAGCGTAGATTTACTTTTTCGCTTTTAATTTCCGCAACTATGAACTATCTAGATGTATGGATAATAGGCTTGCATGCAAAAGACAAATAAAATTAAAACAGCAGATCACCTTAATTGTGCAAAGATTAAATAACTGAAATCAAACACTGCTTCACACTTGCACCCTTAGGGTATGCCTCACTTGGTTGCCTCGGAAAACAATGGTCATGTCCCTCGAACGTAGGGATATCTTAGCAAAAGACCCTAAATCTAAAAGTCATCATAAAGATCATAGTCCCTTAACGTCCCTCGAGTTTCCTACGAGAAATGATCTTATCTCTCGATGTTGCCTATATGACGATAGTCCCTTCGAAACGCTAAGGTATCCTTACTTGTTTCCTTCAGTGACCATTTCGTCCCTTCGACGTCCCCTTAAACATCCAACGGCGGTGCTACCTATTCCTTAATAATAGGATAGCGCTGTCTAAAGGAAAACGAACAGACCTTTTTCGAGTAGGTAGATTAGTTCCTAGGTACTTGCTCAAACAAATAAACTTTTTCACACCAAAAACTTTTCAAACAAAGTTTTCAAAAATAACTTTGTAACACTCTTGAGGACAGAAACAAGGGTTAAAACGAAGTAAAAGAAAACTTTTCAAAACAAGCACACACAAGCAATTTTCAAAATGAGCAAGTACCTAAGAGTCCATGGAAAGTACTCAGAAACATCTCGAAAAAGGTTTTTTTTGTTCTTTTTCCTTTTCCTGATTGGATAAAATAAAAGTCGGTGGCGGCTCTTGCTTACCACGACATTTGCGAACAAAAAATGCAAACCAGTATTAACAGTCGGTTCTGCCACTGTATCACTGGGCCCCTTGTAGTCTCTTGAATCGCAAGATTTGCCCTCCTTTTCTGCTCCCTGACGGGATGTTGAGGGTTCATCATTCTTTGAGAATTTTTCATTTTCTCAATGCCACGAGTCTCACGCGCTGTTGGCAACCTCTTTCTCTTTGTACGGGATGTACGCTTGTGCCTTGAGCAAGAGGGCATCCAGTGTTACATGAGTTTCTATGCCAACCGCTTTGGCGAATTCGCTGCAAGGGTGTAAGCCTCGCTCGTGGAGGTATTTCTTCATCCTGTCAATCGTGGAGACCTAGACGGCTTCCTTATTGAACCTTCCAATGTATGCTCGGAGGGACTCATTTTTCCTTTGGATTATGGCCTCCAGCGAAGCTTTTGATTTGGGGTGTCGATGAGATGTCATGAAATGCCTGAAAAATTGTCTTCCCAAGTTCTTCCACAATGTGATGGACTCATCAGGGAGGCTCTTGTACCAAGCCATGGCTCCTTTTTTGAGTGTTGTCGGGAAGAGTCAGCATTTGATTGCTCATCGTCATCCTCTTTAGTCGAGTAAATCATCGATGTTCTCGATATGCTCGTCTGGATCTGCAATCCCATTGTATGTCCCCAGGTTTGGGGGTTTCTCCAGGCCGACAAGAAGTGGGGTCTCCATGATTTCTCTAGATAACAGGAAACGAGGCTCGTCATCATCGCTACGATCAAATGATGGTGGTGGAGAGCATTTGTTTCTTCCTCGCCGGGGGCTGCCTCCCGACGGGGAATATGCTCCTCTGGTGGCGCTTTAGCTTGAGTGGTGATGAATGGTCGTCATTCGACCGTTTAAGTATCCTTCGTCTTTTTGGTGACCAGGGAGTGTCGATCTTTATAGGGAGGAGTACGACCTCGTTTCTTGAGAAATGAAACCTCTTGCTTCTTGCACGTGGAGAGACCGCCATGCCTTGATGGTGATGGACTATGAGAGTCATATCATCGGTATCTTAGAGAAGGAGATCTTGACTGACATTTCTTTTCCCAAGCCCCAATCCTATTTCTTTGTTGCAGGATCAGAGTGTTGGTTTGATTGAGGGAAGCGAGCAAAACTGCCATGGTCGAGTCAACGGTTTACGAAATTGGAATTGGCTGGAGGATTGCTGGTGGCTCCTTGATGGACTTCTTGTACTTTTGATTCTCCAAGAATTAAATGTCCTCGTGATTAACGTCGATCGAGTTAAGAGACGCGGTTCGTCCATCTCTTATGTTGGAGATATCCTTGAGATGAGGTGGTTCTTCATTCCCATCTGTCTTGCAGACAAAGAAGAGAACGATTTTTCGAAAAAGGTGGTTGTCATCATGATCGACCATGATAGGAGTCTTTGAATGTCACTTTGATATTTAGTTTCGAGGAAAGAAATATGGGGAGAACGAAGTTCCCACAAACGACATCACCGATCTTATCGGTTGATCAGAACCTGAAGTGGACCGATAAATGATGTCTTCTAGGCTAGAATCAATGATGAGAAGGGGGAGTGTACCTGTAAGACACTCTGACAATCAAGTAAGAAAGAGTGCAAAGAGATACAAGAGTGAGATTAGGATTTTTAGAGTGAATATTAGATACCTGGCCTTCACAAGCGTGAGATTTTATATAGTGCCCTCGACGCTTGATCATTGATTCCTATTTTTGGGCCTGAATATCAGGTTCTCAAAAATAGGTAACTTCCAGGAACTAGTCGCTGTGTCAATCAGAGGTGTTCGTAACTAGTCGTTACAACGGGCAGAGAAATGTCTCACGGGCAGGCGTGATTTCTGGTCGTTCTTGGGTGGCTATCCTCGTGCGGTCGGGTATGATGAGGAATAGCCTGTTTGAGCGGGTAGGAGTAACCGAAGAGACCCTGGTGGCCAGGACTCCTCGGTTAACAGGTAGAAGGGATAAAACGTCCCTTATCCTTCATGTCGTATTGGGCCAAGGTCATTGGTCCGTCCTACATACAAAAGTGGATTGGACCATGCATAGTCATTGGACCAATCCAAAATATAAATATTATTGGAACTCCTGAAGAGTTTCCAAAAGCTATAAATTGTTTAAATAAATGGTTTGATGTGAAGGACTTAGAAAAGACAAAGTTCTTACAAGGCCAACATTTAGACAATAGAATTTGCATACACCAAGAATGTTATATAGAAAAAGTGTTAAAATGTTTTTATATGGAAAAATCTCGTATATAGCAAAAATGTTAAAATGTTCCTATGTGGATAAATCTCACATGTTTTCTACCTCTATGATGGTAGATAATTGGATGTGTAAAAGATCCTTTTATACCTCGAGAAGAGGATGGAAAATTAATTGGTCCTGAAGTACCATATCTCAGTGTAATTCAAACACTGATCTATGTTGCTAATTATACACAACATGATGTATCAAATAATACTACTCTATTAACAAGATATAGTTCTTCGCCTACACGAAGGCCTTGAAACGAAGTCAAAATATACTTCGTTATTTTAGGGATAAATGAACATGAGTTTGTTTTATTCGTATCCAAATTAGAATTAACAGGTTATGTAGAAACATAATACTTTCCAGATCCTCATAATGGTAGTTCACACAATTTATTTGTTTACTTATGGTGGTACAACTGTTTCATGGAGACCAGTGAATCAAACCATAACCATAACTTCGTCTAATCATGAAGAAATTTTTACCACTACATGAGGCAAGTCGAAAATGTGCTTGATTGAGATCACAAATTCAACACACACAAAAGGCTTGTGATTTAACTTCTAGAAAGAAATACAACAACCATATATGAAGATAATATTGCATGTATTGCTCAATAGAAAGATGATTACATTAAAGGAGATCGAACAAAACACATTTCTCCAAAGTTATTTTTCACTCATGATCTTCAACAAAGTGGTGACTTAAGCTTTAACAAATTTGTTCATCTTACCGACCTTTTAGTGCAAAAGATTAGTCTTTATCGTCGAAGAAATGATCGTTCACTTGAGGGGTGAGAAATGAATTCGTTCAACTGAAGGGGAGAAATGCATTTTTCTTAAAAAGATATTATACTTTTTTCCTTCACTAGATTTTTTTCACTGGATTTTTACTAGTAAGGTTTTAACGAGGCATATCCTGAACAAACATCAAAGGGATATTGTTGAATAATGAATGATTGTCTCCTTATAATTTTCTTTCTTATTTGTAATTATATGTATCGACTAATAACGAGGTAGTTCCTTCAAAAAGAATGTTGTATTCTTTTTCCTTCAATAAAATATTTTCTATTAGATTTTTTCGAGTAAGGTTTTAACAATACATATTCTTTATGGACATCCAAGAGAGAGTATTATAAATAGAATGGTTATGGATGTCCATCAATTTGAAGATTTCAATTGATTTTCTATTTATTATCCATGTTCTATAAATATGACTCACATTATATTTGAAATCGACACATATAATAATAATAATGAGAATAATACAATATTATCTCTTTCTCTTATTTATTTCTAATATTCTATTATATTACTTCTTATTAATTTTATAATAAATTAAAATAAAAAGTAAGTGGCTTTAAATTAAAGTGTTAATTAATTGGAAATCCGTATCCAACTAAATTAAAAAATATCAGATTTAAATGTGAGATAACAAGAATAAGAATAGTTTGCATTTAAAAAAAATATGAGCGAGGTATATTCGGTTTGGTTATCCTGTAGTATGAATTATCGTTTGAGTTTAGGTTGTGGTGTAAGTTGAGAAATCGAAAAGGATGGGCTCAATTTCAACCCTGGCGTTTCCGCTTCTCGTCGGAGTCAAAGTCCCCTTTCCTCGTTCAACTTCTCTTCGAACGCAACAACATTCTATGTCAGTGCCAGCAGTTTCTTCCTCTTCTCAGGTAGCTGAGACCCAATTACTCACTTTTCTCGGTAAAGGTGGCTCCGGCAAAACCACCGCTGCTATCTTCGCCGCTCAGGTACAATTTTCCATAAACTTATGCTGATGAATTTTTCATAATAATCCAAGTTATTTAGTTTTGTATGAGCCTTTGTGCCTCAGCATTATGCAATGACTGGATTCAACACATGTTTAGTCATACATAGCCAAGACGTCACTGCAGACTATCTCCTCAACTGTAAAATTGGAACTTCCCATGTCCTTTGCAGTAACAACCTTTCAGCTGTTAGGTTGGAAACAACCAAAGTGCGTGATTTTTTCATTTCCTCCTTCTGCATTTTCGTTTCCTTCTCTTCACACTTACTTTCGCCGTTTCTTCAACAATTGTAGATGCTTCTTGAACCTCTAAAACTTCTCAAGCAAGCCGACGCCCAGCTTAATATGACACAAGGAACAATTGGAGGGGTGGGTACGTCATAATATCTTTTCTATACTAATTCGTTTTTATCTTCTTTTTTTTTTTATAATTTTTTAAATATTTATTCCTTTGATCAAGTTTTGTTCCAAGTTTCAAATTACATTTCTAGTCATGGATGTGGTTATGACACAATTCTGACTATTTGTTCCTCTTTACTGTCATAGATTGTTGGAGAAGAGCTTGGCATCATGCCTGGAATGGACTCTATCTTTTTAGTACTTGCACTTGAGAGGCTTGTAGGATTTTTGGGGATGTCGCCTTCAAAGACTCAACACGATAAATTTGACATAGTAATATATGATGGTGTTAGCAGCGAGGAAACCTTGCGAATCATGGCTGGATGCAGTAAAGCAAGGTTTTCAAATACCTACTTTCTATCTCAAAGACGTGCACATCCTCAAAATTTACTTTGATTTTGATACTTTTATTTTGTAGATTGTACTTGAAATATATCCGCGCATTGGCGGAGAAAACTGACCTTGGGAGATTGGCTGCTCCTTCACTCCTCAGACTTGTGGATGAGGCCATGACAATAGGTAGCAGCAGATCTTATTTAAATGGGAGGATGAGTTCAGAAACATGGGACACTTTGGATCAACTTCTCGAGGTAAGATTAAACACTATTTAATAATTACACTTTATGATACAACATTATAACATACATCATATGAACTACTTAGTTGATAACAATTGGTTGTTTTTGTTGATAAAGTAGTTATAAAGTTATTTTTTGATTATGTGTTGTCCAGAAAGGATCTTCTGCCTTCTCAGACCCACAGAGATTTGGTTGCTTCCTTGTGATGGATCCTAACAATCCAACCTCGGTAAATTCTGCATTACGTTATTGGGGGTGTACAATTCAGGCTGGTGCTCAAGTTTCAGGTGCTTTTGGACTCTCACAGCAACCAAAGCTAGAATCATACGAAAGAGCAAACAAAGATCTTTCTCCTTTGCCTTCTGCTTTTATCTCAAGTCCGTTAATGATTAGCCCAATAGACTGGAACAGAGTTTTACTGGACACTGCAAATCAAGATGCCAGGCATCTTCTTACTTCACTGTCGAGCCAATCCAGTAATATGACATCATCAGTTAAGTTTAATGTCAAAAGAAAATCAGTTACTCTCTTCATGCCAGGTTTTGACAAATCAGAGATTAAGCTATACCAAGTATGTAATTTCCTGCCGCTCGTAAATTATCTATTTTGTAACTTTCTTTATGAAAAATAACATGATTATTATCCTCTTGGCCATTAAAAGAAATGAAATGCACCTAAGGTCTCAACTCAGTCATTCTGTGCACAGATTTTGTTTATACAAAAAAAGGATACTGTAGATGTTGAGAAGAGTACCTTGTTTTCATAGAAGCTTTTGTCAACTTCCTGGCAGATCAATTTTTAACTTGCAAAACTGATGATGGAATTATTTGTTGAACTGTTCACATTTTATTAAAGATCAATCAAATCAGTTTGGATGCGAGTGCAAGGGTGCCAACCTAGTTAGGATGTTTGTGCCTTCATCTTTTGCTTGACTTTAGGGCCCGTTTGGTGCGCAAGATAAGAGAGAGGATAGGAAATCTGTATCATATCCTATTTCAATCTGGTGTTTGATGACACAACATGATATGATAAGTTAATCCTGAAATTTATCCTATCCTGTCTCACTAGTTTAAATTGTTATCCTGAATATGAGCTGGGTTAGAATCTGGCAGGATAGGATAAGAAAATAATTTACAAATTTATCCATATAAAATATAATTTAAAATAAAAAATTAAATATGATAAAAGATAAATAAAAATTAATTTAATATTAAATTAAAAAATATTAATAAATTTTTTTTTGAAAAACATCTATGATGGTCATAAGGTTAATTTTGTAACCTTATATAATATAAAAAAAATTAAAATCTAATAAAATGGAAAATTTAATAATAAAATAATTATTAAAATCTTAAGAATACGTATACTAATTTTATTTTTTTATCAAGTTAAATATATATATATATATATATATATATATATATATATATATATATATATACATATATATATATACATATATATATATACATATATATATATACATATATATATATACATATATATATATATATATACATATATATATGTGTATATATATATACATATATGTGTATATACATATATATGTGTATATAGATATACATATATATACATATACATATATATACATATACATATATATACATATACATATATATACATATATATGTATATGTATATGTATATGTATATATATATATATGTATATATATATATATGTATATATATATATATATATATATATATATATATATATATATATATATATATATATATATATATATATATATATATATATATATATATATATATATATATTATGTGTGAGCCAAATACATGATAGGATAAGTCTTATCCTGTCTATATCATATATTATCCTTATCCTGCTTTATATTCTATCATGTCTCTATCATATCCTGCACATCAAACGGGTCCTTAACGTTGTTGCTTAAGATTAATAATTAAAGATCAATAAAATAGTGCGGCTTTTTATTTGTTATTACATTTTTTTGGTTCAAATGGGTGGGTTGGATTCTATGGTTTGTGTTTTTTGTTTGACACTTGTCACGAGTTATATTGTGCTTCTCTATCACAAACTCTGCACTTATCACATGCTGCAATTTTGATATTATGCTAGTGGCTAACTTTTGAGAATAAGCACCGTGTTCATTACTTCTCTCTAAAATAAATGCAGTATAGGGGAGGTTCTGAGCTTTTGGTAGAAGCCGGAGATCAAAGACGTGTCATCGCCTTACCCCCAAAAATTCAAGGAAAGGTTGGCGGAGCCAAATTCCAGGACAGAAGTCTTGTTATTACATTTCTATAACAGTTCAAAAAATGCTTTTTCCTTTTTCATCATTTATGCCCGAGTCCTGAAAGCCTGCTGAGGATTATTAATGTTACAACAGAGGCAAATTTTCTGACTCCACATTTCTGCTTGAATTGAACAATATCAGTCAATTATGCAAAGGAAATGTGTCACTTTTCATTCTCTCCTTTGAAGTTTTTAGATAATTATTAGTAACTGTTGTATGTTATATGTGCACTAACTGCTTTGTGCAGTTATGTAACTGCTGTTGGTAGTCAGAGTAATAAATAGCAAGTGTGTAGACGGGCATTTGTACTGTGCTTAATTATGTATCTATTTCATTGCACTTAAAATGTTGTTCAAAGAAACATAAACAATTATGTTAAATTTAATCTTGTGTTGGGTTATTTGGAAAGTTTCCCGTGGCATTTTTATCCTTTTCATCGTTTCCTTTGTAATTTACAAATTCATCATTGTGTTGTTAATTCTTTGTTGTAATGATTGTTGGAGTTATATCAATAGTAAAGAAGTTTATTCAGTATGTTTAATTTAATTTTCAACTAGTGCTGCTATAAGGAGTTATATCAATAGTAAATAAGTTTTATTCAGCGTGTTTAATTTAATTTCCTACTAGTGCTATAAGGATTATCTTGGAGTTCAAAGTTGCACTCACAATATAATATCCAGTATGTATAAGCTATGCAAAATGCAGCAAAATGAATTATACAGTAGAATGGGCAACATATACATATATAAGAGAAGTAAATACCAAGGGAAAAGAAAAGAGAAAAAACAATCTTGTGATGGTATTCTATGATTCTGGTGTGATGGTATTCTATGATTCTGGTTTACTATCTTCTCCACCAACTTGAGGGGTTTGGATGCGGCTCCTTAGGTCTTCGAAAGCCTTCATGCTCTCTGCGTCAAAGCCTCCTGCAAACTGAAAGCAAAAGGGATTCACACCACCATTACTGTATTATTCGGTATGTATTCTATTTTTTTAATGAATATTGATCACAATATATTTAGTACATTTTTGCTTGTAACAATTGAGTTGATTATGCGCATTTCAAAGCTCAATTTTGTAAGAACACTGTTGTATTTGTCTGAGTTGGCAATGGAATATCAATGTAGTTTAAAATAGCTGAGTTTTTAAAATTTTTAATCTATGAGAATTGTTACTTGGGGTACTAGAATCTTTACAAAATTTGTTACAAACCTGATGGACGCGGAAAGCAAAACGCACGCCTTGCAGAATCAAGAACTCTCTAGCCGGTTCCTTCTCAGGTCCAGATAATGCATCAAGCTCAGATGCAACACGTTTCATATACTTCCTTGCTAGTTGTACAGAAGAAAGCTTTATCTACATTAAGAGAGAACCGGCATGTGATTATAAGCTGCTACTTATGTGCAAATGCTAAAAGGGAATGTCCACTTTTGACAAGTAACTCAAAAGGATTTGTCTTAAGGATGTAAATTAACATTTGGCTATATTTATATACCTTGCCTACAACTCCTGAATCTTGTAGCCAGTTTATTGGGATTCCGAATTCCTTGTATCGTGAAATAGCCATATCTCTTGTTCGTAACAGTGCATATACACTTTGCTCTACTCTGCAAATTAGTGAAATGTATAGAGTCAGGTTCAACATTTTTGTGACTTTAAAATTCTGCATCTTAAGATTTAAATTATGACTAATGAGAGAATGTTTTTATTTATTAAGTTCTCAAGCCATCCATTTTCTTGGTAAGGAAAATAATAAATATATGGTAGGGAGGAATAGAGGCATGCATACTTTTCAAGCAAGGAATACATTTTCTTGAGAGCAGCATCACAAGAGAGCTTTGGATCATCAATGAAGGTAGAGACTTGCTTCTCCAATTTCATAAGATCTTGATATTCAAAAGCTGCTTCCCTTAGTGCATCTGCTTTCCCCTCTGGCCAATCAAAGTGCTTCAGGACAGCTCGTTCATCAACCTTGCATTTCACAGGGAATCAAATGAGATGTACATCATTTCTTTCGATTTTAGATGAATGAATTATCTGTGATGTTGAGAAATAGCACTCAAAGGCATGCATACCAAGAAGGAAAGTTCTTCATCTAGCCAGTTCACAAAGGCAACCAGGTCATTGACATCTGTAAAGGAGGATGCTCTAACTTCAGTTGCCAAGGATGTGACAAAATCACCTTGTGTTTCTACATCAGCTTTCACCTATATACATGTTTAACAGATGAGAAATACATACTTTTCAAAACCGTGCTATGACTTGAGAAGTACCGACAAAAGAAAATAATAAAATAGTAGGGAAACTTCAACATACTGCTAAGAGGAATGTTGATCTATTCTCAATTTCCCCAATCATGTTGCTCCTGGCATCAGATGAATTACCCGTTGAAGAAACTAGTAATGCAGTAGTGTCCTTCTTTGCCTCCCGTTTCATCAATGACTGATAAAACTCAACTAACTGTGGAGCTCGGTGAACTTTGTCGTCATCCATTGCCCCTCTTGATAGGCCTCTTGGTGGAGGAGGTGGAGGAGGCGGTCCTCCTGGTGGGCGAGGAGGGGGAGGAGGAATGGATGGAGCAGATGGTATTCCACTTGCAGGATTTGAATTTGTGCCAACAGAACCACCACCTGATGGTGTAGGAGGTGGCCTAGGCACCCGAGTAGGCCTTTTCTCAATGTCGGCAAGCTTCATCTTGCTAATGTTTTGGTTTTCAACATTCTTTCCATCCTCAGATTGGTCATTTGGACTATCAGGAACAATTGGCTTCTCCTTTATTTGAGAAAGTTTAGGTGGCAAAGATATATTAGGCCTCTCTCTTTCAGTCTTGGTCATATTCAAATTTGAATGGTTACCAAACTTCTGCACTCTTGCTTTCTCCGCCTTTTCTTTTAGATCACTCTCTCTAGCCATGGCCAATTTATGGCGATCTTTATATGCAGGGTACTTTTCGTCCACAGACGCATCGACAGATGACTTGGACATCAATTGGAATGAAGTAGCAACAGAATTTAGCGAGTCGGTAGATGGGATTTTTCTAAGGTCAGCACTAACAGGAGTTGAAGTTTCAGGAGAATAAGAAGATTCTAAATCCCCTTGACCAAAGGTGGTGATGGCTACACTATCACTGACATTCCTTATCATCAAGCTTTCGAGCGGACCCCTAGATTTAACACTCATACTCATCCTTTTTGGAGAACTTCCTGAAAATGATCTTGATGGTGATGAAAGAGCACTAGAATCATCTTTGACTTTGCCCCATTTCTTCAATTTTTGGATTATGCTAGGTTTCTTGCTAATATTACTATATTTGCTACTAAAGCTATCAATAGAAGCATTGTCAAAATCTTCACTTCCTGGTGAAGAGGGATGAGAAAAATTGCTGTCGAGATCTGTGTCCCCTTGACCTCGTTCCGATCCAGCGTATTCTAACATCAGCTGCTTTGCCCTCGCTTGTGATTTTGGGCTAAGGTTCTTGCTGAGGTCGCGCGCCGATAGTTTTCCCGAGGGTGCCTGCTGATTCTTTAGTTCATACCTCAAACATGCATTGACCCAACGAAGGTATACGAGCTCTTCAACTTCACTAAACCTATTCATTTGAAGTCCTTCCACTTGCTTTGACAGGTCTTCATTTGTGTGTCTCAGGTTACTGACCTCCTCTTTGACCTTTGCAACCATTTCACTCTGCAGTTCAACACAAAGCGTCTTTAAAACAAAATTACACTCATCCCATTTACAGAGATGCACATCAGAAGCACAACTGTTCACCACTACCGTGAATATACAAACTTTGTAACATTTTGTCAACCAGAATTTCTACTAATTCAAATATATTTACAAAACAAAGTTTCTAAATTATCATTGATTTAGATTTTGTAAAGACTATCATGCTGTTTCACGTTGATTTAGATTTTGTAACGACTATCATGCTGTTTCACGTTGATTTAGATTTTGTAAAGACTATCATGCTGTTTCCCGTGTGAAAAATCCTTTGTTCAAACTAAATGGCGAAAGAAAAGAAGTATAGTTGAAGACTCTGACCTCTGTCATGTTGGAGAGCTCTGCAACTCTAGATTCAGCGGCATTGAGTTTAACAGTTAGCTCCCGCTTCTCGTATTGAAGTTCTTTATTTTTCCTCTTAAGCTCCACAACATTAACCTCTAAGTCATTCACAGCTTTCAATTTCTTTTCAATCTCAGCATCATTTCTGGCACCCACTTCTTCTTTCACCTGTAGACCAGAAACTTGTTGTTTAAGCAACAAAAGTTGGGCTTTTGTTTGGTTAGCCTCAAGCTGCATTTGCCTTTGTAGCTCCTTTATCTTGTTTCTAGCCAACTCGAGATCTCTCTTTGCTGAAGCTCCATTTGTGAGTTCTTCTTGAAGCTTCTTCCTCTCGGCCTGCAACGAGTTAATCGTAATATTAAGCATGTCTATTTCCACCGTCTTAATTTTCAGCTGCCTTTGTAACTCTACAATGTCTGATTCCTGCTCCTTCAAGCCATAGTACTCGAGCAATTCTCCTTCAAGTTTCACTTCTCTTTCCTCCAATTCCTTCACTAGCTGCCGCAATCGTTCTAACTCGCTGTCATTGTATGCCATCTCAATTTCATAAACTCTTTCTTTCTCATCCTTATTATCATCAGTGGGAAATGATAACTCAATCTCTCCGGACAAAAGGTCTTCAAATTCTGGTAGAATATCATCTTCGAAATCATTAGCTCTATTTATTATGCTGCTAATTAACTTTACCTCCTCTTTCTCCTCTTCCTCCTCACTCTAGAAAACACGAAACAAGTTAGAGTTTGGCAATAATCATAAAGAAAAGAAATTAAAATTGGCTAAACTCACATCATTCCTTTGATGAAGAGAATCATCTGTAATACTAGTGACCTGCTCTTTTTCGGTGTCTTCATGTTGATGCTCTTTAGACCTTTCTTGACCATGATCTGAGCCAGAATATGTGAATGAAATTGTTAAGCTCATAGAATTAAGCAAGTTAGAAACATAGATAAAGCGAAAATACCTGATTTAGAGTTTCCAACGTTGAGCTGCTTAACTGTAAAAGCTGCTAATGAAGCAGCAACAATGAGTCCTAACCGGACTATCATGAAGCTATTTTTGCATTCCCTCAAGCCATTACCGGTTGAATATCAGAGAAGGACATGCAAAGCAAAAGGCATGTCAGGAAATTTCGTTTATACGCATAATAATAATATTGGCTTTATCATCTTATCACTATATGGAACATTCCGTGAGAAACAGCAGCCACCAATAACTAGAGGCCAAAAAAATTCACATTACTTCTTTGCTCAACTACGCCTCTTCTAATTTCTTCAATTTAATGTGGCAGTTGTTTGATACCTTTTCTTTTCCCTCTTTATTAGCTTTTCTCTAATTGCTCAATATCGGTTTTAGAAAAAATTATGAATTAAAATATTATTTAAATTTTAAAATAATTAAATATAAAAATACTACATTACTCTCTCAAATCAGTCATAAAAAAAAAAAAAAAAACCAACTTTTTTTAGTTTAGTGATCAATTTCAAGACCATTTTTTTAAAATCTTAATTATTATTATAAATTAAAAAATTGATTATTTTTATAAAATATAAAGTTAGTATTTTTAATATACTTTTCATTTAAAAAGGAAAAATAATCAATTAAATATAAATATATTTTCATGAATTTAATTTATATTTTTATCTAAATATACTAAATTAATCATTTTTAAATCAATATAATATTTTTATATAATAATAAATAGAGAAAGTAATATTTCACATAATTCGGGGATACGTGTACACTTATTATTAGTGTTAGGTGTGACCCATTTATAAGGGTAAGTAGATTATAAATACAACTTCATCAATGTTGATTTGTTGGGTACAAATAAATTTGTACATATATCACGGCGGGTTGAGACAAGTTCCCTTAGCAAGCGAGAATTTAGCCGCTCCAAAATTATACATGTCATCTCCTCATTTTTTTTATTCCACTTTTATTTTTAGATGAGTTGAACATAATTTTCAGATGAAAATTATAATAGAAAGATTGAAATTTTTGGTACCACTTAAATTTTCGATACACCCCTATAAAATTTTTGGAACACTAAATTTTCGATACTGTATTTAAAATTTCTGGTGTACGAGAAATTTCAAATTGATTGAAATTTTCGGTAGTAATAAAACATGGTAGAAAAAAAAATTAAATTATCGGAATTTTCAAAATTTCTGGTATTCTATGATGAACTGAAAATTTTAAAATTTCCGGTATAAACGGTAATTGAAAATACCAGATATTTTGAAATTTCTGATACGAAAATATCAGATATTTTGAAATTTCCAATACAAAATACTTTAAATTTCACAAATCTACCGTAAATTCTTACTTGTTCGCGAAATTTTCCGTACAAAATAACTGAAATTTCACAAATCTACCATAAATTCTCACTTGTTCGCGAAATTTCTAGTATCACCCAAGAAATTTTCGGTATCGCCCAAAAATTTGAAAAATCTGATTGGTACCACTTAAATTTCTGATACACCCCTATAAAATTTTCTGTACCATAAATTTTCAGTATTGTATTTAAAATTTTTGATGTACTGGAAATTTCAAATTAATTGAAATTTTCGGTAGTAATAAAACATGGTAGAAAAAAAAATTAAACTACCGGAAATTTCAAAATTTCTGGTATTCTGTGATTAACCGAAAATTTAAATTTTTTTGGTATAAACGGTAATCGAAAATACCAGATATTTTAAAATTTCTGATACGAAAATATTAGACATTTTGAAATTTGCAGTACAAAATACCTTAAATTTCACAAATCTACCGTAAATTCTCACTTGTTCGCGAAATTTCCGGTATAAAATAATTGAAAATTCATAAATCTATCATAAATTTTCACTTGTTCGCGAAATTTCTAGTATCACCCAAGAAATTTTCGGTATCGCCCAAAAATTTGAAAAATCTGACTGGTAACATGAATTTAAAATATGTGGTGAATGATTTGGGTCTGGGCAATTTGGTATTTTCATACTATTTGGGGGGTGTCATGTATAATGTGGGGGGTGACGAGTTAATTTCTCCCTTATCAAGCATGCTTCTAAGAAAAAGCCACATTTCCAAAACATAAACTTTCATCGCGACATCACTTCTGCTAGTTAAGGATGAGTGATTTTTTACTATTATGTCAAGTTGATGCTTGTGCTCGCCATGTTATCTTTGTTAAAGTATTTCATTTCACTTCGGTTATAATTCTGCTAGCAAAAGAAGTGTCAACTTTGAAGTTAATTCTTCAACGTCTTCAATATGACACACACTTTTGCTAGTGGAGATCGGTGATAAGGATTGCTTTCGCTTTGCCAGCCGTTGAAGATGTTTGATGTTTATCTTGAAAGCTAGAAAAACTTTAAGGACAATTACTTATTAGTGACCATCCAGAATCAAGAGGCTCACTTTATGTTTTGCATCCTTCTAGAAGATGATCCCTCCCTTTCTCGTCCCTTGTTCGGAGCCAGTGAGATGTAAGGAAATCATTTAGAAATGTTGGACCTGAAACCATTTTTTTGCGCTCTAAAAACATATGCATTTGCCTCTGATTCTTTGACTCTGGAGGAAGAGTCAATGAGAGACGACTTATTCACCTTCTGGGGGAGCTTGGGCTATAAAGAAGGAGTCGGTCCTTTAGATGTACAACATTCACAGTAGAAAAGACGATATATTAACACATGGTCAAATGTGGAAGCGGTCACTAATCTCGAGAGAAAATATATCTTTGGTGAGGAAAGGGAATTATCTTTATATTTTCATTTATTATTCACATAACATTTATGTTGACTCTCTTCTTTATTTCGTCTTACAAATAAGATGAGGGTTCCTGGAAACATCTTTAATAGAAATAAGGCCCACAGGGCAAACGATACTCCTTTGTATCCTTCTCAAAATCCTATTACATCCCTGGTTGAAACGAGAGCGAAAATGGCCCTATGAGAGAAGGAGACTCCCCCTGCTGTGGAGACACAAGCAACCCAGGTCGGGAAAGAAATTATGGCAAATCCATGGCATCCATCACCTGAAAGTCGGAGTGAGAAATTGTGAGTGCAACTTCACCATTAGATATTTTACATGATGCCAAAACTAAGAAAACTTATCATTTTTGTATATTGGACGATATCTCTATGTCATATGGTGCACCCTTGCATTAGAGGTCTTATGAATCATTCAAAACCACCTTGAAATTGGCCAAAAACATCAAAATTCATTTTCTGCACAAAAATCACCTGCATGTGCCGGCACATACGATTTTCAGGCTGACACATGTAATTCAATAATGAAGCCCGTAGCTTCTGTTTGGTACAGGTCGACACATACAGTCTTTAGGCTGGCACATACTATAAATTTCAGTTCAATGTGTCGGCACATACGATTTTCAGGCTGACACATCTGCGTCAATATTAAAGGTTGTAGCCTATGTTTCTCATAGGTCGGCAAGTAAGCCTTTTCAGGCAGACACATACTGTTATTTTTAGCTTTATGTGTCGGAACAACCGTATTTCAGGCTAACACATACTGTTTGATTGGGTCAATTTTTCAATTCTTTTTAATTCCGAAAATTACCTCTTTGCATACAAACTTCCACAATTATAAATACATCATTTATTCATCATTCTAACTCGATGGAACTATAAACACTTACCACCATTTCTCTTCACATTCAACCTCCAACCTATGCATACACATTGATAAATCACACATAATCATCTTTTGTCAGAGTGCCATCTAGGCGAGGTTTGATAACATCTAGTTAGGTTTTTGTGTAACCGAGAATATTGGGTTAAGAATTGTGAGGGATTTCATCCGGAAAAACCTAGGGCTTGTCCTCCAAGATCTTTGGTAGATTTGGGGGTTTTATTCAAGACTTTCAAAAGATGATTGCGACCAAGTGAAAGCTTTAAAGTTTGGTACCCAAAGGAGTAGAAAGATAACGACAAATGCAATTGGAAGTTCTTGTGTTCAATAGTTACAATTGATCAAATGATCTTTGGAGTTTGGTACTCAAATGAGTAGCAAGATTTGATAAATTAATTGGTAGCTATTGTGTCTTGGTCTTGTTGAAGATGAAAAGAAGAGAAGGGGTTGAATCAACAACAAACAGTTAGGGTTTGCAGGGTTGCTCTTGGAACACTTCTCTTGTAATCAAAATTTTGCAAAGTAAGAAACTTATATCAATCCAAAACGGAATTGGGGGGAGACGTATTCATAGAAAGGACGATTGATGAACTTCCTAAACAAATCCTTGTGTCACTCTCTCTCTCTCTCTCTCTCTCTCTCTCTCTCTCTCTCTCTCTCTCTCTCTCTCTCTCTCTCTCTCTCTCTCTCTCTCTCTCTATCTATCTATCTATCTATCTATCTATCTCTTACTCTCATTTACTTTTTATATGCAATTTGTTGAATGTGTTGTTTGATCAATCGACTCATATAGAATTTTTATTTGATTGTTAAAATTTAATTTTTTTTGTTAATTAGCTTATAATCACTTTGATTGTAAGTGCTTTTTCATATCAACAAAGCTCAAAGAAAATTCTGAAAAATCAATTACGCGCCAAGTGTTCGATAAATTATCAAGCTATGTTTTTAACTTGATTTTATTAGAAATAGGAAATCGTTGTGTTTGATATTTTTGAAAGGTAATTTTTAATTGGGAATATATTCACCCCTCTAGATAAGTTGTCGTAGTCTAACAAGTGGTATCAAAGCCTGGTTAATTCTGTGCTTCGAAACTCTTATTAGAAAATGACGTACAAACCAAAGGGGATTACAAAAGAGCCCCAATCTTTTTGGGAGAAAACTATAGTTATTGGAAAGCTTGTATGTGCAATCATGTTAACTCATATTATAAAGGTGTGGGGGATGCTATTTTAAATGGTCCAACACCAGTAACAAATTTTGTTGATGGTGGTGTCACACCCAAGCCGGAATCACCATGAAATAATGATGATAAGAAAAATACATTAAATCTCATTAATCATTTGAGCGCACTTGGTAATCTTATTTCAAATGTGATTGATACTAACAAAGTTGTAAGATGTCTTACTAGGAATTGGCA